AAAGTAAACTGGAGAAACCTGGYGAATAGCTTACATAAAAGCTGACAAAGGTCATTCTACAAAATTGGGCATTTTACAAAATAATCCTTAACTTTTGTCAAGGTTTTGAAGGTCAAGAAAAAACTGAAGAACTTTTAGATTCAAAGAGATAAAATGATAATGCAAGTGAATCTGAACTGAATCCTTTTGTTTTTAAGGACAGTTTGGGGACAACTGAATATTGGATGGCAGTGAGTATGTTAAAGTTTTAATTATTACAAATTAAAAAACCCTCACAGGCACAATGGTGTACACCTGTAATCCCAATATCTCAGGAAGCTGAAGCCAGCCTAGACAACTTAGTGAGCTCCTACCTCAAAATAAAAATTAAAAAGGGCTAGGGAGGCCAGGTGTGGTGGTGCACACCTGTAATTCCAGCAGCTCAGGAGGCAGAGGCAGGAGGATGGCAATGCAAGTTCGAAGCCAGCCTCAGTAATTTAGTGATACCCAACTCAAAATAGAAAATAAAAAGGGGTGGGGATGTAGCTCAGTGGTGGTGCCACTCTGGGAGTAATCCCCAGTACTGAGCAAAAAGAAAAAATGTTAAAAGAAGTTTTGCAGGGGCTGGGGATGTAGCTCAGTGGCAGAGCGCTTGCCTAGAATGTGTGAGGCACTGGGTTCAATTCTCAGCACCACATATAAATAACTAAAATAAAGATACATTGACAACTAAAAAATATTTTTAAAAAATGAAGTTTTGCAGAAAAAAGAGACTTAAGATACCAAATGGAAACTTATTTATATGAAGGAATATACGGTCTCAGAAATAGCAAATATATGGGTAAACATAATAGATATTAGATCTTATTATTTATTTTTGGTACCAGGGATTGAACCCAGGGGTGTTTAACCACTAAGCCATATCCCCAGCCCTTTTTATTTTTATTTTTTTATTTTGAGACAGGATCTTGCTAAGTTGCATAAGGGCACTGCTAAATTGCTGAGGCTAGCTTTGAACCCGAGATCCTCTCTCAGCCTCCTGGGTTGCTGGGATTATAGGTATGTGCCACCATACCCAGCTGGATCTTATTTTATTTATTTATTTTTAATCTTCTGGGTTATCTTTTTTTTTTTGAAAAAAATACTTTTATTTTTATGTGGTGCTAAAGATTGAACCCATGGCCTCCATTGTGCTAGGTGACTGCTATACCTCTGAGCCACAACTCCAGCCCCCCCCCATCTTTTTTTAAAAATAAAAATAAAAATAAACAGGGGCTGGGGTTGTAACTCAGTGGTAGAGTACTTGCGTGGCATATGTAAGACACTTGGCTTTGATCCTCAGCACCACATAAAAATAAATAAAATAAAAATATTGTGTCCA